GTTTTAACTTAAAAGTGTACTGCAATTTAATTATTGTCAGACGTAAAGTTATCAATGATTATTTAACAAAAGTTTTATTTTTATACTTATAAAAGTTAATATAAATGTATCAGCACTTGTTTTTATTGAACTATTCACTCATCAAATTATTTCTAAAATTACTTTCTAAAAAAAAAATTAAGTTTTATATCTATCTGTTATAAACTTTTTTTTTAAAAAAAAAAGTTTCTTTTAATTTGAAATACATTATTTTGAAATATAATGTTTACAATCATATCTGGTAGTCAAACTGGTGTAGAAAAAGCGGCCTTAGATGCTGCTCTGGATAATAAAATTCAATTTGATGGATAATGTATAACAGGAGACCATAACAAGCACTTTAATAATACAATATATTGTCTTAAAGAACTTGAAACACATAGTATTTACGAAATGATAACAAGAAATGTTAAAGAATCAGATGCAACGTTAATTCTATTTCATGAAATAGAAGAATATAAATTAGAAGTTACAGTTGAAATTGTCAAGGAATTTGGGAAACAATTAAAGATAATATGCCTTGATGAAAGTTATAATATCGAGCAAATTTTAAATTGGATCAGTGATTATAATATCAGATATTTATACATAACAGGCTCTGAGGAAATTTTACCTGGCGTTTATCAAGAAGCATATGAATTCATATATAAATTATTGAAAATGATTATGGATATTCAACTAATAAGTTATGAACATGTACCATCATTAATTAGGCTGGATAGTGACGATGTCTTCAGCAACATTAAATATTCTGAACCTGTAGCTACTATCAGTGATAAAGATTGTATGAAAATCGAAGATAAGCCTTTAATTCTGAATGACTTTATATCAGTGCATTCTACTATTTTTCAAAGACCATTAGCAACTGAATACGCTGAAGCTGAGCAATTGTATTCACTACTTAAAGAATATAAAGATAAAATTGATAATATACTGAACTCACAACATGTGTATGCAATAGGTCCCGCCTTTCAGGAAGACTATTCTATGCCATGTATTACTTGTTGGGTTGCTAAGTCTCTAAATAAATCTGCTATGGAAAAAATTTCAGCCATGTTTGATGATAAGTTTAGAGTTGTATACCATCTGGTGAATGCCGAAAACATTACTGATAGCTGCAATAATCAGGATAAAATTACGTGTGAGACATTAAGAAAGGATAGCAATGAGCTTGATAATAACATGTCATTTTCAATGACTACTAGAGATTGTACCTGTATAAGAGTCACCCGGGTAACCCGTATAAGATCCGTTAACCGGGTCAACCTATTGCTAACCGGGTGACCCAGAAGCAAAATTCTGGCTGTAATCTACGATTAATCTCAACTGCAAGTTTGTCATAAAATCACGTCCACTTTCATTAGTGCATTAACCTTATATTGTCACCATGAAGGTCAGCTTTCATAATCGTGAATACTGTATCAGATATCATATGAAATATCTTTAAGTAATTGACAATTTTTTTTCTTAAATATTTATGAAGGCTTACGTTATAATCATACTGAAACACCATCAATTATTCATTTGCTCTTGTATTTTATAATTATTCTTTTGTTAAATTCCTTTAAAAATTAAAACTATTTTTTCCTAGAACTGGCCAAGGTCTTGAGTGCAACAGTATTGGATTTTCATGTGCTCTTACAAAATTATTTTTCTCACTATCAATTTTCGTATGCCATCCAACTAGATTGCTGAATATACAGAGCCAAATCCTCCTTTGTCAAATTCTATTGTATAATATTAGATAATCTATCAAATGGAATCCACTCAATCGCATACTCATATTTAAAGGTTCTAAGTTGAAATTCTCTGATGCAATCAATATCTTTGTTTTTACTTATCCATCCTTGTGCTGTGATGTCAGGATCACATGTCAAACATCAAGTTAGTTGAGTGTTCTTTTCATTATAATATACACATTTACCGTGTTCATTATCCCGACAGCTACTCTGTTTAAGAGCCCAGACATGCCAAACTTCAAATGGAACTATCATAGATATAAAATTCATCTTTACATTTTACAGATCCAGCAAATACAAAAATTGGCAATGTGAAAGATCTTTATTGCGCAAAAATGCATTTTCCATTCATGATCTCGTCTATGAATAACCGGGTCAACCGGGTTATTTGATGTGACCCGGTAATGATATTTTACAGTTGTTTTCATAAATTTTGGGACATCTGATAAAAAATTGATTGAATAATTACTGTATATACAGATTCGTTAAGTTTTTGATAAGCTTTTGGACGTGACCAGTTTGATCATGTACAAAATCAAAAGCTTATCATGCCGAATCAAAAATTTAACGAATTGGTATATAATTATTCGGTCAATTTTTTTATCAGGTGTCCCAAAATTTATGAAAACGGGTGAGTAACCCGGAGCTTAAATTTTGAACCGGGTCCTATCTCTAGGCTTGGGTCGATTTTTAATGTAATTTGCTTATTAAAAGTCAATAAAACAAACTAGAACAAAAGAATAATATTTAATTAATTAACTCATTTTCTTTATTACTCAAAATAAAGAACTTAATATTCATTAAAATTCTTTAATATTATTATATCTTATGTTGTCTACGTTCACAAAAAAAAGAAAACAATCAGTTTACTTATTAAAAATATTCTTTTAAATTAAATTTCAATACCATATGACTTTAATTTTATAAATAAAAGACTAAATTATTAATTTCATTAAATGATTTATTTTTTTAATAAAAAAAAGTTCATTAATTATTAATTAAAAATATAATAAGATCGGTAAATAATTCTCTATAACAGATAATAAAAGAAAGCTCGTAATTTTTTGAAACTATTAAGTTGATAAAACAAATCATTATAAAAGAATAACTTATGGGGGAGAGAAGCACACAATGTATGCATGATTAGCTCCAGTCCAAACTTAGATTGGACGCGATAGCATCCCATTAAGTCAGTATTAATGATAGTTGGGAATAAAGAAAGGCAAATCATTACTTTATGAGGAAGTACGAGAACACCTTGCTTTTTATTAAAAGAGACAGTCTGTGCTTTTATATATTTTATAATTAAGAGCCTGACCTACTAAAGGCTTCGTGCCGTCATTTCAGCCTCACATAGCCTTTTACACAAACTAAAATAATAACACTGTTTATAAATTTTATACAGATTGCAAATGAGTTATAGTTATTTTCAAATTTACAAAATTTATAAACATTACGACTATAGGACTATCGTAACTTTCATTTCGGAAGTATTGTCAAATTTTTTAGAGTAACGTTACCATCTCTTCATCCATAATACTAAGCTAGATTATGTATTATTCTTTTCTATCGTATATTGTAAATGGTAAATTTACCCAACTTGGCGGTACAATAGTCCGAGATGAGTATACAGTAAAGTAGTACAGTACGGTACTATAAGTTAGTACGGATATTAAAGGTGTTTACTAAAGTAGTACTGTACGAGTAGTACAGATTTAGACGGACGTACGAAAATTTAACTAAATTTTAATAGTACGTACGTTTGTTTTTTTATACTAGTACGTACGAAAAAATAAATTATTTTTTATACTAGTACGAATTTATATTATAATTAAGTGAAAGTATTAATTATTAAATTAAGTGAAAAGTACTGAATATTGAATTAAGTGAAGGTATTGAGCATTAAATTAAGTGAAAATATTATATATTTAAATTAAGCGAAAGTATTATTAAATTAAATGAAAGTATTAAATTAAGCGAAAATTATTAAATTAAACAAAAGTTATTAAATTAAACGAAAGTATTGAACTTTAAATTATTTAACTTTAATAAAGATGAACTAAATATGCAGCATTCGCTCTTTACACTTTTAAGCATATTTTAGCATTAGCATCTACATATAATGCAAATTAAGCATTTTTTTTTTACATTTTAATATCTAAACTATAATATAGTAATATGGTTTTTATATATCTAATCCCAAGCTTATTCTTAATTGTCGATTCTGCAATTCAATTGCTTCAGCTTCGGCTGCTTCTTTTCTTGCTTTTACTTGACATTCTAGCAAAGCTATTTTTCTTTCTTCAAGTTCAATACTTAACAAAGGATCATTTTCTTTATTACCAGTAGTTTGAGGTATAATTTTATTTTCTTCACCAATTTCATTATCTGAATTTATTACATTCACAATAGTTTCTAATTCAGCCATTACTTCATATTCCATTTGAGAATTAGTTTCTTGATGTGATTTTTTTCTTTTATTGTTAATGATTGGTGCTTTTCTTTTACTTGTTTTAAGTCTTGAGGCTAAATTAAAATAAATATATATAAAAAATATATTGATAAATAATATTTAAATAGTATTATATATGTTTTAAATTTTATATTACCTTTTCGATTAGATGCAATTTGCTGTCATTTAACTTCACTTTTGTTATACCTAATATATGGTATATTTGAATTTTCATAAGTATTTTTAATTTTTAATAATTTTTCATCATGCCGTTTTCCACTAAAAAATAAAAAATAGAATTTAATTAAATAAATTATAAAAATTTAAATAATATATTATTATAGTATTACCATAATATTGCAGATAAAAGCTTTAATTGTTTTCTTTCTCTGTTTATTAAGGCATGGGCTGCTTCAGTGATATTAGTGTTATTACTATATTTTCACTATATATTACGTTCCATTTTAGTTTTATTAATATTTAATGAAAAAATTATCCAGGGTGTTTGATAATATTTTGACCATTCTATTAAAATTATATTTTTTTAAATATTTTTTTTTATTATAATTAATTTAATTTATTTAATTTACCTTTAGCATTTGGTTCATCGGAAAATTCAATTTCTTTTAAAACTAAATCTACTGATTCTTGAGAGAGAGCATTAATAATTGACTTCACTAAATTATAAATATTTTGTGAAAAATGTTTATTCGCCAAATTCCTATATTATAAAAAATCAATATAAATTAAGAAATTATTTAATTAAAAGAAATAAAATATAAATTAATATTTACTGATAAAAATGTACAACACAGAACTTAAAAATATACATTAAATGAGTTTCTCAATCTTTAGATGGGTCTAATTCATATAATGCAAGACCTAATCCTTTAGCTTGCGCAGCATCTAAATCTCCTAATATACATTCCCAACCTTTATTATAAATATGATATATGTTTATAGAATTATTTGTAAGCTCTTCAATTACTTCAAATAAAATACTAAATAGTTTTTTATAATCAGTAGCTGAAGAAACATTAGTATAAATACGACAATAGCTTAAAACTATATTTAATAAAAAATAAATAATTAAATTAATTAATATAATTTATTTATTTATAGTAAAAAAATTTAATTAATAATAATCTTACTTAATTTATTTTCATTATTGTATGTGTTAATTTCAAATTCATTCAAATCTCCTTTTATTCGCTTAAATGACAAATTAATTTGAAAGCATTTCAAATTTAATAATAATTCAGCTTGTTCTTTCAATATACAAATAATTAAAATAAGACCCAAATTAATCCATTCTAAATAAATAAATAATATTTTATTAAATTATTAAATTAAATATTATTATTTAAAAATTAAATATAATTTTACCAATTCGATGAATATAATTCTTAGTTTCTGGATTATTAATTTTTACTGCATGAAAAACTCCTAATATATCTTGTCCATATGGATATAAATTTTTATAAGCTTTAGCTACCATAATTCGCAATTTATCAATACTATTTAGTGACTGATGAATTTCTGAAAGATTATTCAAATTAAAATAAGCTTTAATTAAATTGCCTATAAAAGTAATAAAGTTAAATTAATAAATAAATATTAATAAATATTAAAAATAATTAAATTAAATATATTAATACTTGATTGAATTTGTCTAGGAGTAATAATATTATTTTTATTAACAGCTTGATTAATTAAAACTTGAAGATTTGTTTTAATATCTACTGGAATTTTTTCTGGAGGTAGAGGTGGATGGTTATGAGTTCCAACACATACTAGTGCAATAAAAGGACATGTAGTAAGATCTTGTGGTATAAATCTATAAAATTTTACTAGGCAAGTTTTTTGAATAATAACTCCACGATCAATTTTTCCATTAGAAAAAGTATGTATATAATCTAATTAAAATAAATTATTATAAATTATAATTTTTGTTTAAAATAATTTAATAAATTAATAATAAAATATTTTTACCACATTTTTTTCTTTTAGATGATCTATGCAATAATGTATTACAATAAGGTAACTGTTCTTGTATCTTAAATTTTAAATAAATTTTAAATTATTAATTTATAACTTATATAATAAATTTAAATTATATAAATTTATACCTCTGCTTTTCCAAGGAATAAATCTTGAAGAAGCATAATATCAACACTTTCACAATCAATTTTAATATAATGATGCTATTAATCTCTAATACAATACATTGAACAACCAATAAACCATTGATAAATATCTTTAGTTATAAGTGACTTGTATAGAATTGGATTTCTAAGACACATAGTTCCATTATTATCTTTAAATTTGCAAAGATTATCTTTAACTGCCAAATATTTTCTAATTTAATAAATATTATTAGTTTTAAATTTTATTTATTTTAATGAATATAAAATTTTTTAATTATATTTACATATAAGTATTTGATTTAATAATTTCAGTATTTTGACTTTCAGTAATTCTTTTCCATAAGGAAGATTCAACATCAACTTCATTATATTCAACATTTATAAGTGAAAGATCAGTAAAACAACAAGTTTTAATTCCCATACAGTAACGCTTTTCTTTATATACTTGTGAATTGCCAAAGTATAGTGATTTTTTTATTAAATGAATACCACTACCACCCATAGAGTATTGTATCTAAGTAATTATAATTCATAATTATTTAATTTTTTTTAAAAAAAAATTAAAATAATAATATTTACATTTTTCTATGCATGACTTGAATTGGTCCAATCAGAAACATGAAATATAGTGGCAACCTCCTCTGGTGATGTAGAAGGATATTCCACAGGTACGTTCGAATGAATTATTGTTTTTATATGAAATCGTGATATAAAACATGTAATTTCTGAAATTTCTTCTTTGTCATTATCAAGTGAATCTTCACTTAATGAGTCGATTTCAAACAATTCCTAATATTTAATTTTTAATTTTAAAATTTATCATTATTTAATTTTAATAAAACAAAAATTTTCTATACTGGTAGTCATATACTGGTTCAAGTTCAGGATTTACTAGTTCAGGTGAAAATTCTTAGATATTAGAAATATCCGTTTCTATATTGATATTTGTTGTCATTACGTTAAGGTTAATATTTGCTTATTAAAGTAAGCAAATTATTGCCGTAAAAAGAATTATCAACAATATATACATAATATCAATCACTCTCAAATCACTAAATTACTAAACTTATGTACTTATACAATCGTACAATATACACTTCTATATACTACTATACATACGTCTGAGTACGGTAAAATCATATATATATTTTTTAATATCCGTATTAACTTATAGTACTGTACTGTACTACTTTACTATATACTCTAATCTAACTATTATACTAAAATTATCAGATCATCTAATTAGATTTTATTAATTTGTTATTATAAAGGTACATATAGTAATTTCTTAGAGTTTATAATTATATAATAAATATATAATTTTTTTAGATCAATTTTGAACATGCTTTTTTGAATGTCTATAGAAATTTCAATGCATAATCATGATTGAATAAGAAAAAAGAAACAATATCTTAACAAGAAAAAAAAAGATAAAATGAAAAAGGAAAAAAGCAAATCTAGATAAAGAAAACTACAAATTATCTAATGCAAAAAAGAAAACAAAAAAGAAAAAGAATTTGCTATTCAGGAGGAAGTATATAAAAGAATTAATAAATAAATTGCTCATAGTTCAAAAGAAGAGTGATTACAACTTAAAATAAAATAGGAGATCTTAATAAAGGCTAATAGTAGCCTCCTAAGGATTAGAAGTAAGTAGATTATAAATGTAACTTATTGCTTTTATGAAAGAAATTACTATTGCAGCAGATTATACTTGAGCACTTGAAAGTAGCTGAGTGAGCCTAAAATTAGCATAAAGAAGGGTAATTTAGTATAGAATATTTATAGTTTTTTACTCTGTAGCTTATTTAAGCTTTTCTTTAATAAATAATAAGCAAGATTGCCTAAGTAATAAAAAAAAAATATATAATAAATATATAATAAGCTATATATATTTCTTAAACTGTATTTCAGACAAATTTGCTTTGAAAATTAAAGAGTAAATCCTATTTTATAAATAATTTAATAAAATATTAATGATATAGAGTCTATATTATATATAGAATATATTGTTGAAAAAAAATACACTCTTTCTATAGATCATTTTGACCATTTCCAGAGCTAAAGGAAAAACAAAAATAAGTCAAAACCTAGACTAAAAAACAGTATTAGAAGGACTAATTAAAAGAAAAAATAATCAGAAACTATACATATTATATTAAAAGAACAAGAAAAAGTTTTTTCTTATTTCAAAAATAAAACAAGAAGTAAAGAAACCTCAAAAGAAAATTCAAAAATTTTTTTAATTTTTTGAAGAATTGTTATTACTCAGAATCACAGATCAGATCGTATGATACAATTATGTGAAAATTAGGTAAACAAACAAACACATGATCGAAATTGCTAGAACATGATATGAAATTAACTAATAGAAAAGAAGTATACAAGATGAGAACTAGAATTTTCACAGGTAACCAGGAAAAACTGCAGAAATCAGTAAAAAAAGATGAAGTCACTTCAATATAGAAAATAAAGAGTTAGTTAAAGAAGAGAACAAAAACAAGATAGATAATAAAGACAAAGATGTGGAATACAAAAAGCTCAAAGCACTTCATTAAAAAGATAACAAAAGAATATAGAAGAGAAATAATTCAGGAAAAGAGCATCTCAGTACTAGGTCTTGCAGATCACTTCGATGGGATAGTAGCAAAAGCAATGAATATAGATAAAGAGATTATTACTGTAGCAAGGCAATAATATATAGCACTAGAAAAAGCTACTTTTACAGAAGGGATAGATAAAGTTTAATTAGTACTAGATAGAGAACAAAACACAAGGAATATATAACAAAAAATAGTAAATAAAATAATAAATGAGGTAGAAATACGAATAGAAATACCTTTACTAGCAGAAACAAGAATCATTATACAAGTAGAAGCTTCAAAAGACTCAACACAACCCATACCTTCTCAAAACAAAAATAATGATATATCAAAAGGTATAAAAGCAAATGAGATAGCAGAAACTATGAAAGATATTTAGCTAGTAGAAAGTAGTATAGAAATCTGCTCATTAAAAGATGAGATAGAAAAATGATTAGAAAGATTAGTCAAAATAGGAAAATTAAAATGTAGTAATATATCATTAGAATGTAGCTTATGAGTACTGAAACCAGAATCATATAAGGACAAAGGAGAGTTCAAGGCAAAAGTAGCTGTAGTTAAAATTCTAGAAGATAATGCAGAACAAAAAGAAAAGTCAATTGGATTGGCATTAAGAGAAAACAAACATATTAAAGCAATTTAAGAAAAATTTGCAAATGGAAACCAATGGTACATCATCTATTTTAACTACAAGAAGAGATATGAAGAAGCTAAATCAAGACTGGAAAAAAAGAAAGATGGGTTTGACTAGCTGAATTTAATACTAGAAGAAAAAGTTGAGAAGAAAAGTTTTAAAAAAGAGAAAAAAACCGTTCATGTCTCTAAGGAAGAAAAAGAAATAAAAGAAAATCAAGCAAGATATGAGCTTGAGGAAATACAAAAGAGAAGAGCTACTTTATACAACCAAGTTGAAAAAAGCAAATCTTCAACAAACAGTGAGAATAAAAAAAGAAAGGAAGTTGCAACTGACTAAACAACAGAAGACAAATTAGCTCTTAAAAAAAATAAAGAGAAAAAAAGAATATACGAGCAAGAAACCCTTGGTGAGGAAGAGAAAAACTCTAGAAAAAACTAATACTTAAATAAAGAAGAAAAATCTCTCACCAATACAGAAGAAGCGATTACAGTATGAGATATACCTTACTACGTGACAAGATCACAAGTCTTCTATACAACTAAACATCTTAGATGAGTCAAAAATATTGAAATGATCAGAGAAGAATTAGGAAAAGTAAGAGCAGAAATACTCTTTGAAGAAGGAAACAGTCTAGTGCAAGGAATGGAAACCTGAGCCATTCCTCTTACAAATGATCTGTTGGTACATATAATACCAGGATCAAATAGAAGAAATCTATTAGAAAGTTGCAAGCAATTTATGCTAAAGCTATTCAATATTTCATAAAATATAAATAAAGTATTGCTATTCAGGTAGTTTAAGTATACTGAAGCAAAAGCAGTACATGTCTTCAAAAATTCAAATGGAAACAACAAAGGCTATGTATTAGTTTCTTTTAAGAGCCAGAAAGAAATAATACGAGTACAAAAATTTAGTATTAACTATTACAATACAAAGCTATTCTGAGAAGTACTAGAAGTAGACACAAGTGAAACATATTGTTTAGAAGAGGAAAGTCAGCAAGAATACTACAGGCACAATCAACAAACAAGCTCAAAAAGAAAAGAAGTAATCCAAAACAAACAAGATTTCTCAGAAAAAAAAGGAAAGTCTAACTTAGCAGAAAAGAGCGAAACAGGAAATAAGTTATATACAAGTTTAGAAAAAGAAAAGATCTCCTCTAATGAAAAACGAAACAAGGAGCTATATAAAGAAGATGAATATGCAGAATCTCTCTCATATATAGCATAATGAATACAATATTTAGAAGGAAAACTAAATAGCTTTAAGAGCAATTGGGGACTAGAAGCCCTAAATCACTTCTAATATTAGCTAAAGTTGAATTAATAGAAGCTCTTGTCTACTAAGAAGGAAAACTTGAAGGACAAAA